AACATCTGGTACAGCACGTGGCAACACACTAACTCAAAGGCGATAAAACATTCAACAAGAATATTTTATCTTATTGCTCAAATCTCCCATTGTCTGAACTTTGTCAATGTCTTTCTTACGCATTGAGGTGTACATGCGTTCTATTGTTCCGTAACTCGCCAGATTTCTCATGACTATGAAAAGCACCACAGGAAATCCGCGCAACATGCCAATCTAAACCGGGGATAAATACCATTGGTTTGCTATTGTTCTTTTTACTCGCAAACACTTATAAATTAACGTAGTATAATTTCCAATGTTTGACACATTGCGGATATAAACAGAGAACTGAGAATAGGTTCTCGCAGCTCGGGTGAACTGGATTCCATTTCTTCTTTTCACCGAGCTTAGAAATTTGTTTGCAAACGTTTCACCACCAGTCGAAGTTATTGTGAAGTGACTGTGTTCCGCATGCACCCGTTCGTCTATATGTGTTCTTCTTCACCGGCTATTTTTGTCCTTTTCGCCCACTGTGTCCGATGATTTGAAAATCATCAATCAAGCCCGGTCAAAACACGCCAGAGAATTTCTCGAGGCTTGGCACTATCCAACCAGCGCAAACAACAAGCAAATCGATCTGGATCACGTGTACACGCCAATGCAACTTAGGGATGGAACGACGCAATACAAGGTAGCGTCTTGACCTGAGAACGGACCGAAACCGTAACCATGACGGAAGAACATCACCATTACCCCCTCGCACCAGTTCAACGACAAACCGGGTCGGACACAGTGGGCGCAAAGGACAAAAATAGTCGGTAGAGAAGAACACATATATAGACGAACGGGTACGTGCGGAACACTGCCACTTCACAATCACTGACGATGTCATCACTTCGACTGGTGATGAAACGTTTGCAAGCGAATCGCCAAGCTCGGTGAACAGGCTAAATGGGACATTGCGATTATGTGGTTGATGAATATTCACCCCTCGGGGTGCATAAATCTATTCCCTGACTTGATAGTTATCCAGAAGGGTGAAGATGATTCCCTAAGGCGCACAATTACAGTTCACCGGGTGTCCGGCAAGTCTCATTCACACTGGCTGGGCAACTGTCAAGTCCCTTGTTGCAGCTAGCCCATCCGCCCAATCGATCGATGAATGAGCCTGATCGAGGGTGTGTTGCTCGACCCACATTGGATGAATCCTACTCCAATTTAGCGTTGGCAGAAAACTATCACGGTGAATTAGCGACCGAGAAGTTCATTCAAGTCAATTAACATTTTGTCCTTGTTCAGTAGGAACAAGGATTTCACTATGGAATAGGGGAATTTTTATAAGTGTTAATTTTCATAGGAGCGAGTAGCAGCTGACTTGAATGATCGGAACGAATGTTGGTAAATAAGAACAACGAGGATGTATGGGATCAGCGAGGAGTTCGTGTGCAAAATGTTCACAAGAATGTGGAGGTGGCACAGTTTGGTAAAAACGCAAGTTCACAGGAATAAGTGAAACGCGGTCAACGATCATTAGCCAAGACGAGGAGTAAGAAAATATCTTTCAAGTAAACCGGGGAAGATGACAGAGTGGCAATAGAGAATAATGGGGGCAAGACAGACAGATAAACAAAGGGAAGAGATGAAGGACTGTTGGCCAGTAAATTGCCCCGACCGGCAGATATGGAGGGACAATAGTAGTTAGGTCATAGCAACATCATGTTGTTTGACGGTGTCCACTCAACTACCAATGCACGAAGGTTCATTGAAGTAGGAGAGGAACTTGGAAGAGTGAAGATGAGGTCCAAATGCATAGAAAAGTTGAGATGAAAGCCTGATTGCAGAGCATGTCCCAGATTAAGAACAGTTCATATTGCTTGACATAATAAAACGGCACTTGCGAACTTATAAAGTTTGGTAGATAATGAAACAGAAATCTATCAGGATAGTAGTGATTAAGTGGGGAGAAAGAAGAACATGTTAACCCACTCTAGACATATTCAACAATGGATACACTGAACTCCGTCAGTAAAATTGTCCTTCAGTCATGAAAGAGTCGGTATGGGACCAATAAATGACTCCAATTGGTGGTAAAAAGCA